CCCCAAAACCCCAAAACCCCTAATCCAATTTAGAAGTTGTTTCAAATGTAATTAAATTGAATTTTTTGATTTTTATTCTCATTATAAATTCATAGATAAAATTAAGTACTAAATAATATTGCACATTGAAATATTAAAATGTCTAAATAAAAATAAGAAGAGAAATAAGAAGAAAACGAACTACTAAGTATCGGTTAAGAATTCTTTAATGAAAACAAGGTGAGAGAACTGCTGGGAGAAGTCATCTAACCAATACTTATTGAGCTGACAGCTTGTCAGCGTATCAGTAAGATTCAAGCCACAGATGTAAAGAGGGTTCTTGAGACTTAAAAATATCTTGACAACGAACTTGTCAATCTAAATAAAAAGCTAGTAGATCAGTCAGAGATCAAGAAACAACTGAGACTCTTTGAGGTACAGATGAATAACTAGGAGTTAATTCTTAAGAAGAGACACGAGAAGATGAAAGATTCAGTAAGTGCACTCACTGAAAGAATAAATGAAATCAATTAGCATTTGAAACAGGTAGATAATTAGTTTGCTCATAGAGATGAGAAGATTGATCAAATTAACATGCTTGTTAATAATTACAGGGACAAGTTATAGGAGTCCTATTTAGAGTTAAAAGAAGAAAACGATAATGATTTCAAGTTGTTTGAAGAGAGAATTAAAGAGTTAGAGAACAAAACATAGGGATTAGACACCAGAATGGAAAACCTAACTGAAAATCTAGAAAGCTAAACAGTAAGCACAATAAGTGAAATATTCTAAAAATTCAAAGCTGAGGAAGGTAGATATGATGAAGTTAAGCTGACATTGGTTGAATTTCCTAAAATGCAAGCAGATCTTAAACAGGTTATGGGAAGAATGCAATATGTTGAGAAGGAATTTAAAACTACAGTTGAACTCTAAGTATTTGTTGAGAGATGTATACCGATTCTTACTCATTTCTAGATATCTGAAGCTTTGTAAACAGTGTTTGAAGGAGATGAAACATTTCAGAAATAGTTGTATGATTTCGAAAACGCTAAACTGAGAGAATTCTAAAATTACAATAAAACTTATAAGGAATAGGAGATAAATCTGCATAACCTGAAGATTAGAGTAATGTTTCTGCTTAAAGCTCTTATTAAACATAGTAAAGGTGTCCATAAATTTTTATACGGGAGAGATTACAACCCTGAAATGCCTATTGAGGAGTTAGAATATCTCAACTAAATGGTGATAGTATCTCTTGATGAAAGAGAGAGATTAATAAATGCCCTAGGTACTCATGATATTTAAGTTCTTTCTTATGATAAGCTTACATCTCCTAAATCGAATTTCTCAAGTAGTAATACAATGCCTCTACAATAATAATAATAAAACTAATTTTAACCAAAACCTTAGTTGTAAAGATAAAATATATCTAGATTTGGAACTGGAAATAATGTTGGTGCAAGTTTATAGCAATAAGATAGTGGAAGATATTTGGTTTAAAATGCAGTTAAGACTTCAATGTATAGAGGATAATAGGGATATCCAAGTAGTAGAAATTAAGGAGGGCTAAGTGATGAAGCTCTAATTGAAATTAATAAGATGCAATTACTTTTCGATGCAAAGCTCAAGGATATTGAAAGACAAATGGCACAAAATGAAAGACAAAAATTAGTATCTACTCCAGGTGCTGTTTTCAAGTCGTACTTCATTACTAAGAAATATACTTTGAAAGATAGTATTCGTATGGGCAAGAAATCAAGATCTAGCGCAGCTAATGCTGCTCGAAAAATGGCGAAATTGAAGTTTGAATTGAGTAAAGAGGAGGAGACTTTAAGAGATCTAGTGATCTAAAGAATAACTCAACTACTTTAAAACGAGAATATCAATATGATAGCTTAGCTAAAATAAATGAAAAAGTTCATAGATGACTATGAATATGAAAAATAAATGAAAGACTCATTAGCTGATCTGGATAAAGACCTAGCTAAGTCTATAACTTAGGATGATATTGATAAAATTATTTCATAGTTGAAGGATTAATTCGATGGCAAACTAAAGGATTAATTAAATAAACATTAGTAAAGATCATCTGATGACTTGACCAATCAGCATTCTAAATTATCAGACCTGAAGAAGGAACTAGCGGAATTGAAAGACAAAGGAGAGATGTAGAAATGGAAAGTTGATGAGAAGACCAAGGAAATGGTATTTGAGATAAATTAGATCAGGGATCGATTGAAATTTGAATATGATGACTTCTTTTAGTACAGAAAGAAGATAAAATCTGATATTAACTATGACAGCAATTTAATCCAAAACAAGATTCACGAGTTCGAAAGGACTCTCATAATGTATGATGGACAAATAACTAACCTTAGTCATATACTTAACATATTGCTTGAGGTCTAAAGCATAGAGCATCTAATGGTATCATAGGATTTAGAAGATCGCAAATAGATTGGATTATTTGGAACAAAGAAGAATGCTGATATTATTGGAAATGCAAGTCAGAGCGTGACAGTCCAGAAAGGGATAAATCAAAACTTGTAGGACATGAGATCTTTTAATAAAACTGAAATTGGTTATCACCATCAGAACCATAATAGATCAAAGACCATAGAAAATCTTAATAATACATCTTTCCTACCTTCTTAGAACTAAGGACCTAATAGAAATACTATATTTGTGGATAGGAACTGTATATCCTGTAGTGGAAACTCATCTGTGCTGCTTTAGCATATTAAAGTAGCTTGCTTAAGTTATTAAAACAATCCTGTGACTTATAAGAACTCTGTCTACACAATGAACGAGATAAACGGGCTTAAGTATACTCTGCTAAATGAGTGTTAAAGATTACTGGATCCAGTTGATTGGAAAAATAATAAGTCAATTATTTCAGATATTGAAGGACCCATTTTACAATCTAAATTTAAACAAAATAAGACGATTGAGGATAATCTACTTAATAGGAAAAATCACGTAATCCAAGTACCTAACCTTTCGAGGCATCTATAAATTCAAATGAAGACTTAGAAGCTTAATGAGACTTTTGACAATTTTAGGTAGTACTCCTCTAATAATAAACCTTCAAGAAACTTTATGAAAAACTAAAACCTTTAGACTTATTTTCTCACTAACTCTATAAGAAGAGAAAGTAGACCTTCAAATCAGATGACACAAGATAGCCAGTAATAGACTCACGAGCTAATTAAAGACGAGAACTAAGATAGCTAGTATCTGAACATTTCAGCAAACATGAATAGTAACTACAATAACAGAATGAGCACTACAGCAGGTACTCATCATCATGACGGTGCCATTAATAAAATACACATCAACAGAAATGCTAATAATATTACGAATCACACAATATTCAGTGAGCCTTACTCAAATTCTAATCTTATGGATTCTAATATCAAATAGAGAGCTAGACATTCAACATCGATTGGAATGAATAGAGCTAAGTTAGCTTCAAGAAATAAAAAAATCAATTTATTTATATTAGCAATTTAATATTCTAATATTAGTGAAATTAGCTAAGATATCAATTTTAGTTTTTAGAAATAAGGTCTCAAGATGATTTTGCTGAGGCTGAATATGAATTCGAATATCCTTCTCCTTCCTTTGTTATAACAACGAGTAAGCATTCTTTTGGATATGTGTCTGGCTTTATTAGGCAAGTACATTTAATCTCATCATCACCGTTATTTGTAACTGTACATTTATCGTTTCCTGGAGAGAATTTAAAGATGTGACCAGGCTTGGTAGTAACAGTCAAAGTTGAAGTGTATGTGATATCTTCTCTTAATGTTCCCATAAACATAGCTAGACCGTATCTAACTCCTCCGATAAGAGTTGATGAAGATCCAGTTAGATATGTTCCTTTCCTTTAGTTAGTGATAGGAAGAGATGATGAGTATCTAATCTTCAAAATATCTTAATCAAGATTTCCTGTCAAATCATAAGCAGCCCCAGTTTGTGAAATATCTGGTAGCTTTGGTTTTTCTGGCTTAGGTGCTTGAGCAACGATTGCCTTCAACTCCTTGTTACTGAAATCATGAGCTGTAAGTCTGCTAGCTTAACCATTAACATCAGTAATTACAATGTCTCTTGGAGCATCAATGACAATTCCATAATCTTTAACGTCAACGGCTGTCCACTGAGGATAGAATTTCAAAGTATAGGTTCCAACATTTAATGGTGCATCAACTAAGTTAATGTATGAGTAGGATTGTTCATTTGACCAGTAGTAATTTAATTATTTACCAAAGGCATCCTCAAGTATAAGTTTTATGTTAGCTTGATCAGGTTTACATGAGATTGGATACATTCTTTTTGAATATAATGTGGATCTTATGTACATTGGTGTTGGTTCATTGAGGGTGAATTTATAGATAGCTGGTGTATTCTCATTAGCTACCTAGTCATCTCTCTTGTCGTACCAAGATGTAACAAAGTTCTCTGTGTATTATCCGATATTTAGATCATCAAAACTTTGTAAAACTTCTTCTGATGTCATATAGAAGACTCCATCATCAGCAATGACGAGTCCAACTTGTTGGGCATAGGTTTTGCCATCAGCTCCTGCAGATAGCCAAAGAGATGAGCCATCTGCATAAGAGCCTGAGTAATCAGCATCCTTTCTCCATGGATTTCTAATCTTGAACAAGTTGATAGATTAGGTTCTATCGGCGTTGTAAACAGTGGATACAGCAAGTAAGGAATAAGCATGAGCGCAAGCAAGATTGAATTTGCACTTATCTTTATCACCATTTGGTGCTGAAGGAGTGCTTATGGACATTATCCAGTTTTTACCGTCAGCCTGGCTAACTTTGGTCCAGATAGAAGTAGCATTTAATGATGCTATCTTAAAATTATTGTTAGGAACACTGGCTAAGAAACTAAAGGCTTCAAATGGTTAACCGCCAATAATCTATTCATAGTTAGTGTTTGCCTTGGCCCAAGCTTTTTCAAGAAGTGGTCCCCAAATAGAGTTGTCACCACCTAACCCAGCAAAAACTGGTTTCTTTCCGTATTGTCCAGCTGGGATAGAGTCATCAACTACCATCACATGAGGGATACCTCTGATGTATACATTGAATGCATAGAGACCAGCCCAGTTAACTTGAGGATTGACAAATACTTTTTCAAATCTTGAGTTTATCTCAGCAACAGCAGAAATGCCCGCTAAGTAGTAACAGTCACCGAGCCCGCCTTGAGTGATATCATTTAAATAGTCTGAGGTACCAAAGAGTGTGCACTCGGGACAGAGATTGTTCAATCTCTCCCATTTGTTTCCAGCGTAACTTATGAGCCCATTGCTTGAATACTTAGTGCCAGTCCATTAGATTGATGACCCATCAGCTGGGAACTGGCCATCGCTCCAAAAATTTGATGATGACTGCACAATGGTTTTATAGTCAGGAAGAGCAGCCTTGAACCTATCAATAGCTGTGGTACATGACTAGGTAACTTGTTTTGCTTGTGGTAAGGATCTAATCATCTTTTGCAGTCTATTTTATGATGCGGTGACCAGTTAAACTCCAAATAATAATAGGAGGGCGGAGTGAGAGAGCTTCATTCTTTTAATTTGAATTCAAATATTATGATTTAAACGAATCTTGCCTCTTAAATACTCCAATTTTTTGTAAATTTAAATATTTGATACTATTAACTGGATTCTAAAAATGTTAATTTTCAAATTTGAACCAAATCATATATTTAGTTTGATGGGGTTTTGGGGTTTTGGGGTTTTGGGG